TCCTAATCTCTTCTCAGCAATACATCCATAAGAGGCATTTTTAAGGTGATTGGATCTTCATGGTGAAACTAGTCGGTAAATGAATGATATTCAGTATTCTAAAACAAAAATTCTTTGTAACAATTAATGAATTTATTAACATATCCGTTTCATAGTTTAACTTATTTGATAATATGCATTGAGGTTTTTCTAGCCCCAACACTAAAGTACCTATTAAGAATGAACCTAATGCAAACTCCATTGAGATTCTGTCTTTCTGGTAGTAGAAGGTGAACTGTATATATTCAAGGTGAATCTAAGGACTAGTTGTGTCAAGTACTTGTCAGTATCTCAGCAATACTACTCACTGTGAGGCTGGTATATCCAACTGAGAAGTCACAAATAGGACGAAATAGGTATACCAGATTCCGCTGCTAGCCATTGTCTATCATTACTATTCAGTACAAGACTTATTTGTACTATTGTACAAAGTTAGGAGAATAAAAACTGAGCAACTCATCACATGTGTAAATTGTGCTTACGAGATTCGGCAAGAGTATATGAAACGACTGAAATCATCGATTAGTTTTCTCTGTCGTTCCAATCGAAAAAAAAGAGAGAGAATCGATTATTTCAGCGATTACAAAGGTGGCTATTATAGTCACCTGACTGATATATAGCTTAATGTGTATAATAATAATAATAATAATAATAATAATAATAATAATACCAATTGTTCATTTTTCCCTTTCATAGGGAACTCCTATCACGAAAAAAAAAATGAATACACTGCTTAAAATTCCATGTAATGACTGTAACATCAAGTACATAGGTTAAACTAACCGGTGGGAGTTAGTTAGATTATCGGTAGAATGATAGACCCCAATAATCTCAATAAGTTAGAAAGAAACTTAACGATTGTAATGTATTCGTTACTATACAACAAGGTGAGATAAAACCATTGTACTTAGGATAAATATAATTCGATGGAAAGAGTAAGTAACACAAAGTGCCTTATCTATGAATCAGACTTTTGAAAAGTGGATGAATTGCAATGCAGTCACCGTAAAACCTGATGGTATTAAGTTCAGCATCTCATTTGTGACTGTTAACGTGTGTATTTCAAAAGTTGCAAGATAAACAACAGCTAATCAACGATTCTGAATTCTCAGTACTTCCTTTGCTGACATCATCTTCAAACTTGTTAACTTTTTTTCCTTCAAACCATTAAACTGAAAAGTCACTTAAAATTTGAGAAAAGCTATCAGTCAGCAGTATGATAGGCAATTATCAAAATCTACTTGTAAGGTGGGTCTTCAACATTATGGATAACTTATTACAACATTTCCGTTCAATATTTTCGAGTACATTTAGTGCTTTATTATAATGTTTGAGTAGTTAGAGTGGCACCTAGGCATAACTAGGGCACAGTGAGTCACATTTAGTTACTTCTATTATTATCATACAGTTCAGATGTCCCTTTCAATCAAACATCAACTAATCTCCAGTGATTCCTCACACCTACCTATGAGTAGTGATCATTTAAATTAAACCGCAACATCGGGCTGTCAAATAAAACAATTAAATTTTTGAGGGGGTTGTGGAGATCTGGAAATATTTCAAGTTGTTATTCATCGAAGTCCAGTGCTCCCAGGTTTCCTTTGTTCCTCCAACTGATGTCAGTCTACGATGAATAACAACTTGAAATATTTCCAAATCTCCACAACCCCCTCAAAAATTTAATTGAACTAGTGCTCGTTGGTGACTAGCTTCGAGAAGTATTCCCGAAGTTCCAATGACAAGTCGTGACCGGTGGAGTCAAGCCTGATGGCCGTGAGGACAAATACTCAACGATGACATTGGGTGGCGGTTTGCGCTATATCGTGAGCTAACAGAAGTTGGAAATATGGAGCATTGGATTCTGACCCAGTGGCTAGCTCAATGGTAACGCGCTGGTCGCGGAACCTGAAGGTCGCGGGTCCAATCCCTGCTGGTGGGGTCGTGGGTGCGCACTGCTGAGGAGTCCCATACTAGGACGAAACAGCTGTCCAGTGCTCCCAGGTTTCCTTTGTTCCTCCAACTGATGTCAGTCTTCGATGAATAACAACTTGAAATAAAACAATTATCATTTTGACTGAGATAGTCATGGTTTGGGAGACTAGTATTTATACTGGGTGATGATTGAAGATGAAATGAAAATTTAGACGGCAGCCGGATTGAAACCAGTGATCATCAGGTTCCCGACCCGATGGTCTGCCAACCGAGCTATATCAGATAGTCAAAACGATAAACAACATGATGCTCTCTCCCTCTAGTTCAGTTAGACTTCCATGAGAATTCCTGACTGGGTAGCCAGTGTGAATATGATCAAGTGGTAGCAAGGTGTCACAAATTCACATGGTAGTCGGGAAAAACCCATGATAATTGAAGTGAAATAAAAATCTGGTCAGCAGTCGGATCTGGGAGAGTGTCTCGCAGGAAACCTGGTGGTTACTGGTTCGAATCCAGCCGTAGTCCAAATTCTCACTTCATCTTCAATCACCCAAACAGTATAAATAAAACAATTATTGAAAGGAAATATAGTGAAACAAGACGTTTATCTGAACAACATGTGATGTATTTACGCAATACACTTTGAACAATCTGACAACATATTCATTTGCCAAGTCAATTTATATTAAACAAAAGAATGGGAGGATAAATATAACAAATGAGATAATAGGGGATTCAAATAAGGAAGGTGAAAAGAAAAGCAAAGAATGACATGGTTAACCTTGCCAAGAAAACAAAGCTTAGTTTGGTGTAAGAACAGTTTGCTTTCGTACACATAAAGGTAGTTTCAATTTGCTTATTTTTGTCAAATTTCACTATGTATCCCTGGCTATTTGAACATTAATTTTTTGACTCACTTCTATAATATGTCCTGCTATAGATGAAGAGCGGTTAGGTCTCATCTGAGTTCATCAAAGTTTCAAACTATATCTAGTTTTGGAGCTATTTAGGTAACTGACTGATAACACCAACGTATACCTCACACAAAGGTGAATCAGCCCAAGTTGTCACACTTCACAGACGTATGCAAAAAACAGGTGGATACAAAAAGAGTAATATCAAAGTTGTGTGAAAGAATAAATAGTTTGAAGATATAAGTGAAAGCGAATATCCAAGCTTTAGAAGACATCAAGGAGTGAATACATCTGTGCCTTTCGTGACCGATTATCAACCATGTTACCACGAATCACTCCTCCTCAACCACTGATTCCTATCATCTCGAGGACCCTAATAAGGCAGTCTACATCTTCCCACACGGTTCAAACTATTGAAAATTAGGTAAATGTTCTAATAACTAAAACGTTAATTCAGGTGTTTTAAAAAAAAATCCATTTGCAAATAAAAACCTTCAAGATGGAAACGTGAATATCGAAAAAGTGAACACTAATACAAACTGAATAGAGCAAATGTAAAGGGTAGCCACAAAACCTGGCGGTCCTGGATTCGACCTCTAATATATGCGCACTGCTGACGACCGCCAAACTATGATGAAACAGATGTTCAGTGCTTCCAAATTTTTAGTACTTCTCTAAATGATACCATTTCACGATGAAAACTGTTGGAAATGTTAGATTCAAAGAAATAAAACCTTCATGACTAAAATTTACCTGGTTAAAATTTGTCTTTTTCCTGCCTCTAGCGGTGGAGTAACATCATTGGCTTATGTTGCAAAAAGACCCAGTACTAATGTCAAGGTGAAAATATATGGCGTAATCATCTAGTACGGTAGGTAGTCGGAGTAAGTTGATTGGCAACCAGACCCTTAAAACTTCATCAGAAAGATATTTGTCAGTCTAGCACTTAGGAATCCGATGGCTATATCAGTTAACATCAGACCACCAATTAGCGTGTATAACCGAATGTTATAAGGATCAGTCGTAGTTAAAAAGGTTTAGTGGTAAAGCCTCTGGTTTCAGTAACGGGTGGTGCGGGTTGAAACTACTGAGCTGTACATCTGTTTCTTTATATCTGCAGATATGCCTTGTCAGCATACAAAAGAAGTTATATACAGCAAGGTTTCCCTTCAATTAACACCCAACATCCAATTATCTTCGACATTCAAATCCATTACGCATCAGTTTCGGTATACACAATTAGCCTTTCCCAAATACCAAGTTAGAAAATACAGACATGAAAACTACGCAGCATCTACGACCTGACATAGTCCTGTTAGCTTAAGACGCTGACAAGATGCAGTCTTCCGAACACTTTGAGGATGTTTGCAAATGCAAATTGATGCTACAGGATTGGTTTCAGGGAGGAGAAGTAAGTCAGTTGACACAGTTGTGAACCTTCATCGACTGAGATGGTTTGCTTCAACATGTGTTGCGTATGCCTAGTCACACAATGCTGATCGAAGCAGGTTCAGATTGGAAAAATGCCCGAGGCGGCCAGACTAAAATATGGTATCAAAGTATGGAGTCTTTGACGATTGGTTTGAGCCATGTAGGGCGATGTAGACTATCCCGTTAGGGTCCGCAGGATAAGAGGAACCAGTGGTTGGAGACTCTAGATGATCACATGGCTCAGAACCGATGTCAGTGGCGCAGACGCATACACACACTATCGTCATCTTAACGCTTTACCGAATCTCACTATTTTTTCATTCTTCCTTTCGTACTTTATCTCTTCTTTACTCCATCTTCCAATTCACTGCCTTTTTACTTGATGTACTGATATGAGGTGTGACAACTCGAACCGTTACGCAGTAATGCCTGGGCGTATGTTGATGATCTATTTCATGACCAACAAAATTGCCAATGAGAACAGTAACACTTGTGAAAGTAGATAAACCTATTGAGTATCGTGTATTAGTGAACACTTAGCCTTTAAGTTAGACAGTAAGTCAATAGTTAACTTCAACGCGTTCGACCCAGTAAGAATGCATGATGCAAGGGAGTTACAAAAAACAATCCTCAAACGATTAGCAGCAATGCATCGAATCCCCACTATAATGATTGAAACCAAGTATCCAAGACAAAATCATCAGTTTATTTCAAACAAATATTTCCACTGAGTAAACACAAAAAATTCACAGACAAACATAATTTAGTACAACGAGCATTATTGGCAAACATCATTTAGGTATGGCTCTGAATACAAATTATGTGCATGTATGTGTGTGTGTGTGTGTGCATGTTTGAAAACAGAAAATACAAGAGATTAGACAAAGTATGGAGTATGAAATCAAACAGCCTACACAGACAAAGGTAATATCAGTTTTTGATAGCAAACTGTCTTAACACTATCCTACTAATTATACATGAGAATAAATATACTAGAAAGTTATAAGTGATAAGAGAACAAGAAGAGAACTGCAGTTTGTGCTGTCTCCACTTGTAAGAATTACACATAAACATATAAATCCTAAAGACATTCATCATTTCAATACAGACATGGGTCATTAACACATTACACATTTTCAATGAGAAAATAAAAAGAACAATGGTAGAAGGTTAGCTGCTGCAAGTCAAAAGGTAGAAACGTGGCTTTTCGTTCTTATCATTAAGCCAAAACGTGTTATAATTGGTCGACATCAGCACGAAAGTCACCATATCGCCATATATTCTTACGTTCTTTCTTCGCTAAAGCTTGAGCGTTCAAGTATTTGTGAAGCAGGTTACGCGGTAGTCGTTTAAGTAACATAGGTTGAATCGGTTCAACGCATACCAAACCGTTAGACAATAAAGACTCACTTATATCAATGTCATTCGAGCAAGATGATCCCGAAGAACCACAATCCACAGTTGAAAGTAATAGTGTTACAGCTGGAACGGGTTTCACTGATTCATTTCCACAAGGTACAGACTCGTACTGAACAGCCAACCGCACCTATTGACAAACAGAGTCGAAACAATCACATAAGTTACATAAAATGAAGTAAATACTAAGATTATTATACTCCCACTTCTGTTATTCAGTGACAACACAAAAGTCACACAAAAGTCAAATACAAGCGTGTCTTAAGAAATGCACCCTTGAAGCACGTGTGACTGACTGATTGACTAAATCAACGTAGCACCTCGCACACAGGTGCATCGGTTCAAGTTGTCACACTTCACAGCAGTATACAAACAACAGGTGGATAGAAAAGGAGTCATACCAAAGTAGACAACGTTGTATGACAGAATACACAGTTTCGAACTAAAGGTGAATGTTTATATTCGAGCTTTAGAAGAAATCATGGATGAATACATCTGTACCATTCGTGACCCATTCTCAGCCATGTCACCAAGAGTCAGTCCCCAACCACTCATTCCTATTGTCTCGGAGACCCCAACCAGATAGTCTACATCTCCACACACAACTCACATCAACAGTTGGGGACTTCATCAACTGGTGCCACTTCATAGTTTGGCCCCTTGGAACCCTCTTCCAACCTAAGCCAACTTCCTCTAGCATGGCAGGCATGTCGAGGTGTGCAGTGGCTCAGCACATACAGTACATGTCCAAGCCATTTCAGTCGACTAAGGTTCACAACCTCGTCAATCGACTTGCCTGTCTTGCCTAGTATCCTTCTCCTGACATCAACACTTTTCAAATGGTGATTCCACCAAATGCGAGCAATGGTGTGAACAGACCTACGATGGAAACCCTGTAACTGCTTCATGTCTTCTAAATTTAACGGCTGACTCAGTCGTACAATATGATAGAATGGACTGCAGCGCAGTATACTCGTCCTTTGTTAGATATAAAGCACGTTTGATGGGAATTAATAGCTGCAGAACTCCTTTAAATTATAACAAGCACCGTGAGTGACTAGTAACTACTACAGTGTAGTAAGTATCACTTCAGGAAACAATATTAGACTTAAACTGAACAAAAACCTAGGAATCTTGGACAAATTGCGATAGAAACTGGAAAAGAGGCACAAGTTGAAGAGAGCGAAGTACATAAGCACAATAGTCAGTAATATAGTTCTTGTCCCTATGATCCACTGAAAATCAGTTTAAATTATTAATCACCACTCAGCTGTATCATATACGATTGCAAAAGTGATTTGGCGTCCGACCGACAGTACAAGCTAATTTATTTGGTACAGTCGATTCTAGAATCCCAGCTTTATCATGAAATTAGGCATAAGTCGACAGCTCAAAGTTTGTGTCAACTGAAGGTGGCAAATTTGAAAAGATTAAATCTACTCACCTCTTTATTCTCAACAAGATCACAGAAGGCACGTTCTGAAAAAGCGCGATCCGCAGCATCTGGTGGCAGTTGTACGAATGCTAATCGATATTCTTTAACCTGTGGTGGAAGTTGCATAAGTGATCCAGATGGAAGTGGAGAAAGTCGTGATGAGAATTCAGCAGCTTCAATAACTTCTTCATTACCGAAATCGATGAATTGAACTGATATTGACTTGGGTGAACTGCGAATAACACGAGCACGGTACCAACAATTATCCAAACTGAAGCAAGCAATACATAGACTACCTTTCTTAGGATAATGCTCTGGTGGAAATGAAGGGAATGATTGGCTATTTAGCGCCTGACTAATTTTAATTAGAGTGGCTGCATCTGATAGATGTTGTGCAAAAAATCGAAGACCTTGACTACCAGAGGCTGGTTTGGAGATCCCAGTTACTTGAGCTGGCTTCCATGACAACTGCTATGAGAAGAGAAATAAGAAAACGAAGTACATTAATTTGGACAGTGTAAAACAGCGGATTTTTGTTGTTCTACAGAGTTTTATTCATACACATGACAAGTTTCGACTATAGTAGATGAACCTTTCAAGCTTACCCGATAGAGTATGATCAATGGTTCAAAGTGACATAGCAATCTATGAAACATTTTATATTATAGGACATTCGATATTTACAGTCACAGGCGGTAAGTGTCCTTGACTTATTGAAAATTTGATGCTACAAAGGTGGTTTAACTGAATCAACCATTAGGGTAAACAATAAAAAGTGCACAACTAGCTTCCTCTAAAATTACAATGAAGACACAGAACAGTATTCTAGTCATATTTACAATTCAAGAAGTAATCGTGTTCATTTTATAAGTTTGTTTTCGGGAAACATATAGTCAGGATTCAGGGACGTCTCGTTTACAATATGTTTCTTATCCCCAAGTATTTGATAACTACAAAATCAAACAACTAAAAGACAGTGCACAGAAAACATGAGACCTTATATACGCATTAATGTATCAGAAGGATAAAGTATAATCTATTGCAAAGGAGACAGTCATCCACTTAATCAACTGTATACATATACATACAATGTCTAAGGATAAGAATGAATTGTGAATGGAAAATAGTGTAAATATTTCAAAGAAATACCTTATTTGCGTTACTATCATTCGCAGATGTAGGATCACTATCTTCAGTAATCTGTAGTTCTGATAAATCATCCAAATATTCTGAAACACCTGTAATTGGTATGAGATTACCATCTTCAGTACCATTTAGTGCAGTCAAATCAGAATTGTTGACTTCAGCCTCCCATTCTTTGACAAATTCATCAGATGACCACAAACCATATCGGTTGATCTTAGCATCTTCTTCAGCCTTTATCATATCATGATAGTATGGTGAACGTTCAGTTGCAGGTGCACGATGAACTGTACCAAAACCTTGAGATATAAGTAAAAGGCTAAGATTTATTTTTTGTTTAACAGTTGTCATTTCTGCAGGTTTTTTTTTCTTCTTTCCTGATTTATTTATATCCGATCCATTAGTATTGTTAGTTGAAGATGAAGGAGAATCTAAGAAAAGCCAACCAACAAAATTTCCCACTCTGTCGATTGCTTCAACTTTAATTTCAACATCACGCTGCATACATGAATCTTTTGTAAATGCATAAGCTTCATTACTGAATGGCATATCTGGTAGAGCAACACCATCTGGACCAACTCTAAAATTCGATAAATACAAGAAAGATTTATTCACTTGTGAATAATTCAATACTCTAGGTACCGAGTTAAATATAAAGGAAAACAGTTAGAACGACGAAGCACAATCCAAAATGTAATGCCCACCTACGACGTTAAGTTCTGGATAACTTAACAGCTTGCTGCTAGATTCACATGATGGTCAACATGGCATTTCACCATCACCCAATGAGCTATACTGAATGATTATTTGTTGCCGGAAGGTTTTACTATAACAGAAATAGATATAAGATAAAATGAAGTTGCCGTCATAATTTAAATTGCTACGCTACGATGGGGATTCATGGGAGAAGTCATACTGTGAGATATACGGGTATGTGAGAGCTGTTAAATGTTTCTCGTGGTTGACCAACAATACCATGCTGGTGTTGCCTTCGCAATAACACATTCCCTTCTATCTTGAGGTCCTCCACCGCTGGTCACATGGCTTTAATGATGGAATCAAAACAAGCAAACTTATATCTTAAACTACCAAAATAGTTGTTTGAGACTGATTTCAAGCAAATATCCCTTCGGCTCTGCGATCACGCACCACTATTACTAATGTATCGTCTTCTACTGGTACCCCTTAAGGAAGATAAACGATTTTGGCAACAGGGAAGTCTTAAACGTTCTCACAACTCTGTTAGCACTCAAATATACTCAGATCATTATTAACCTCCCACTTCCCTACCTTGCAATCTGGCTTGGCGTTTTTCAGTCACTATTCCTACATTATCTATAATTTCTTCCAACCCTTCAGATTTCGATATAGACTTGCGTTCACGGAACAGTAATCCTGGTCTTTTGAAATCGCACTCCAAAATACATGTTATTGCCTTTAATGTCCGCACTCTCCGTGATATCAATCAAAACTCAGGCATCTTGGGTCATGAATGTGTGTTGTGTTTGTGACACACGCACACAGGACCCAAGTGTGGTTATTCACTTAAACTCACCCGCTCAATATTATGAATTCAAAAAATTCACCCTTCTAGTTTCTGGAGTTTGCAGGTGTATGCATACCAGAAACTGCACTGTTCAAACCAGATCCCAGTTGATAGTTACCTGTATGCTGTTCTGCTGAAAGCTGCAGAGGACTAAAAATAGAGGTGAACCTTGGCGTTGTCTCCTTGTAATCTCCGTTTAAACACCCATCCACTGACTGCAGTTAGAATGGAGTGAAAGATCGATTGCACTGAAACACAAAGTCTTAGATATGGTTGTTATTGCAGGTGATTTCAATACACAAGTGAGTAGGCTGGGTCAGGTAGAAAACCACTTCGGTGGCACTTTCGGAATCCTAGTCGAAAGAAAAGATAACGACGATCGCTTGCTACAACTATGCTTAGATAAGTATCTATTTCTGGTTAACATAAATTTAAGACAAAGAGATAGCCACTACTGAAGTGGCTTTCACCCAACCCAACCCGACGGTCGACACGGACAGACTACATTGCCGCTAGAGGATCGATGGTAAATTGATGTTTCTTCTACAGTATGTGTTTGGACAGCGACCATGTATTGGTCCAAGCATGCGCATGTCTGCGCCTAAATAGAAGTAGGATAACTAAAACAACAAGACCATTCCAAGCACAGCTCGACGATGAGAATATCAAGGCTGCTTTTAGCAAACACTGGCTAAAGAGTTATCGGAACAGGAACATGTTATTCACTCGTAAGAAGCTTGGCGCTATCTCCAGCTTGTTGTTAACGTACTGTTTTCAAGCAAGCTGGTGCAAAACGGTCAGTGGTTAGTAAGTAAGAGAAGGATGGATCAAATATTCACTTGCAGATGAGATGACTAGAATTGATGGGCGGAACACTTTGAGGAACAGTTCAGATGCCTTTCGTCTATTAATCCTTTGTCAGATGCGGAGTGGAACATTGAGATAGAAATCTACAACTCTCGTCGGAGCTGAAAATTCAGTAACTTGCGAAGAGGAAAAGCGGTAGGGACCGATGGATAGTACTGCAGATACTTAAAGAAGATGACTGAGGATAATTGGTCGCAGAGTTTGGGAGTCAATTTCATTCCCTTTTGAATGGATCTCAATTAATCATCCAATCGAAAACTCCATGGACGTGTTGCCGTTCACGCTGAGTTGTCAGATGAGTTATGTACGTCGAATGGTGTCCACTACATTCCTACTTTATCACAGTCGTACTTGTAGAGGTCTTTCTCTCATCCTCTGAGTTTATATGGATTGATCTTACCACGAGCGAGTCCTTATTAGATCTAGAGCGCACGGGTGACATAGTAGTCCTGTTAGGTGAAGATGCTGGCAAGATGTAAACTTTACTGGACATCTATCTTGAACGGCAATTTGAGAATGTTTGAGATGGGTCTCTCATCACCTAAGTGCAAATTTTTGCTCCAGGATTGGTCTTCGTTAGCACCTTGAGTAACAATCAACAGTGAGATGGCTGAATGTCTTGATCACTTCACTTACTTAAAAAATCGAATCAGCCACGGTGGGTTAGTAGTCGAAGAAACCTCTGCATTGATACGAAAGGCTCAATTGGCTTTCGCCAACTCATGCCACTTACTGCACTTCCACGATATCCGATTGCCTATAAAGAAACCAGTGTACTGGACAGCAGTTTGTTATTTTACTATGTGGCAGCGAAACATATTGTTCGGTGGTCGAGAACATGAGATAGTTTGACCAACTTTGCCGTCTAACATAAGCCATCTACTGTCGAAGCACTAAGTCAGTAACGCACAAGTCAGGTGTAGAGTTTTAAGAAGATAAAAGTCAGTTGATAAGGTTCTAAGCTTTCATCGACTGATGTAGCTGAGACGTATGTTACGCATGCCTAATCACTCTCTGCCTAAACAAACAAATTCAGACTAGAAGAAGGTTAGAAGTGGTCAGAGTAAAAGATGACATCATTGCATGAAGTCTTTTGACTATTGGTTTGAACCGTATAGAAGGGATGTAGGCTTTCTAGTGATGGATCGGCATGACAACAGATAGCCCTAGTTGAAGACTCTAGGTAGTACTGCTGAAGTGCATCAACACATTGTCTTTATTTTGAGGGAGTTGTGGAGATTTGGAAATATTTCAAGTTGTTATTCATCGAAGACTGACATCAGTTGGAGGAACAAAGGAAACCTGGGAGTACTGGACAGCTGTTTCGTCCTAGTATGGGACTCCTCAGCAGTGCGCACCCACATTGTCTTTACCTTAACCATCACATAGAATTTCAGTTTTGTTTCATTTTCCTTTTGTTCTCTTTTCATGAATTTTTGCTACTTGACTTTTTTTGCTTATTATTTTTGTTGTGATGCCCCAGTTTTGTATAAAACATTGTTATCGATCCGAACATTTTAACGTGTCATTCTCACGTCATTTTTACGGTATGACTAATAGTCTATTTCTACCTTCATTGTAATGTAAATCGCTAATGGGTTAATCTTTACTCTTACTATGCAAATACCTCAAATTGAGGACAAAGTCATTTTTCATGCATATACTTATTCACGTGTTTTGGATTGATTCATATATTATATTCTCGGAGTAATACACTCTCCCACCTACCAGCTTCGGTCTTCTATCTATTCGTCCCGGGGTTGTGGTCAGCGTCTCTTGCGTACCAAGTTAGCTGTCAGCTAAGCACGCGTATTATATTCGTTTCGGAATATATATACATATACCATTAGCGCTTCGAAAGCATAACAATTTTATCCTAGTGCATTTATGCTTGATGGTAACTTAAACCGTTGCACAGTAAGTTCCAAATCCCTTGTTGGTATGATCTGTCTTATTAAATAGCTTCCATAAGTTTCGTCATTAATAGATTAACTGATTAAGTGAAGAGTATTGCAGAAAGGTATTTGAAAAAAAAAGGTTAGTGAGATGTAATGGAGGTTTTAAAAAAAATTGAGACTAGAAAAAGTAGTAGTAAAACCAATTTAGACAAAAAACTTTTAGGTAGAGCGATATATTTTTCAATAGGTGAAATGGGTGAGTACTGCAAAAAGTTACTGTGATAATTTATTCTAGTTGCCATATGTGATAAAACTGGTATTGCAGTCCCACAGATCTCAAACTAGCCCCTATATTGTGTAAACATTATTATTGAATTGAAATCCACTCACCAACCTTGTGGACATAGGCATATGCATAAGGCAATTAGCCACACCTATTGTATGAGGTGATGTATGATACTATCTGGTTGCTCAAATCTCGGTAGGTAGAATAAAGTTCCAACCCGTTCCCCATTGGTTGAAAGTCATCTCCTTAAACCAATGAACCATAGCATTATTAATTACTAACTGATCGTCTGCTGTCCAGGTCACACAGGTTTCCTTTATTCCTCTAACTGATGTCAGTCTACGATGAATAACAACTTAAAATCTTATAATACATATTTATTTCAACTTTTCACCTTGTATCAAAATTCTAGCAGACTATGATTGTCGTAGCAGCTTAATACTACTACTATTAAGTTAGTTAGTAGTAGGTTGAGATGCTGAATCATTTTCCCAAGAGATTATAAAATAAGTAGAATATGAATATCATTTAGCAGTATATATATATATATATAGATTTTAAAAAGTCAATACATAATATACTATACAAACATACCTTCCACGACGAGGACATTGAATACCACACAATAATAGTGTAATGATACAAGTTTCTCGAGGTATATAAACTCGAAATCTACTTGCACTGAATACAAATTCAACTAATCCATCTAAACGTTCAGCACGTTGTAAAAATGACAAAAATTGTCGTGATTTAGCCGGATTACCTAAAATCCATCAAAAATGATATAGAAAGTTAATTAGTTGTAAAAGGAACAATTTATTTTCCAATTAGACTATTTAGTATATTACTCTAATTTTGGCATTATGTAGTTAATGTTTACAAATGAAAAATCACATAAAAACAAGATCATTAAAATGAAAAAAGTTTCTTATAATCGTCTACTTCTTTTATATAACATGCATGTATTGACAAGTATTGGTAAAATTTCTACACAATGAACACTGAGGTCAGATTTCATCTATGCAAATTGATATCAAAAAATGATTCATATGATGGTCAAACTGTTATGTGCAAGGATTGTTAACAATGCACAGATATCGATTGTCAGTTACTAACATTCAACAAATTCCTAGTTAATTCCCGATCTGACTAATTAGTCCCGACCGATAGCTGCTACCTTGACGTGGTGGTCGGGCTTGCATATCACAATGACCCAACGAGCTATGCTGGTGGAACGCTTGTTCCCTCGAGGTCCTACCATACCAGAAAGGTCTGTTGGGTAGTGGTTAGACGAAAAGCAGTTACCGTTATAGTGTAAATTGCTACACTATGATGGGGGTCTGAGGGCGAAGTCGTACTGCTGCTAGCTGGATGGGGTGTGACAGCAGTAAGGTGTTTCCCTTGGATGACCAGCAGTGCCAAGCTGATGCTGCCTTCTCAGTGGAAGGGGGGGTTAGAAAAGGTCGGCCCCAAAAATAACACACTCCACCACGCCCCACGGTCTGCCGGGCCGGCGGTGTTGGTTCACTTGTCGTTTCCTTTCGCTCATCCGGCCCCAAAAATACAAAATAATCATACTCAAAAGGCTGGGTGTGACAGGCCTCAAGCAGATGTCCGATGGGCTCTGCGGTCACACAAATCTCTTTCAGGTACCTTAAGAAGAAATAGCCTTCCACGGTGTGGGCAGCCGGGAAGTGTCAACCGCCCTCACAACTCTGTCAGCACCCAAGTTTCTTCTGACTGCTATCCTCCTCCTCCATCATTACCTTCTAATCTTCCTTCACGTCTCTTAATTAATGATGCTGCATCATCTTCAATTTCTCCTACCTCTGCAGCCTTCGACAACGATCTGAGTCCACAGAACAGCATCCCTGGTCTCCTTAAACCACGCTCCAAATTACATATTGGAGCCTTCAATGTCCGCACCCTCCGTCAAATTGGCCAACAGGCTTCGTTGGCAAAGACTCTAGCAACTCGGGCATGGATGTGTGCTGTGTTTGTGAGACACGCATACAGGACCCAAGTGTGGTTATTCACCTGACCTCTCCTGACCAATCTGGTGAATCTGCAAAATTCACCCTTCGAGTTTCTGGAGATTCGATAGCTAGCTCTCGTGGTCTTGCAGGTGTAGGTATAGCATTAAGCACCAGGGCAGAAAACTCACTACTAGACTGGATCCCAGTTGATAGTCGCCTCTGCGCTATGAGGCTGAACGGCACAGTGAGAACTAAAAGGAATAGTGAGACTCGCCGTTGTCTCTTTGTAATCTCTGCTTACGCACCCACTGACTGTAGTTCGGATGAAGTGAAGGACGAGTTCTACCATAAACTGTCTAACCTCCTCTCGAAAGCCAAACGTTCGGACGTAGTGGTTGTTGCAGGTGACCTCAACGCACAGGTGGGTAGACTGAGTGAGGCAGAAAGGCACTTAGGTGGCACTTTCGGAATCCCAGCTGAACGTACAGATAACGGTGATCGCCTATTACAACTATGCTCAGATAACCGCCTATTTTTAGCCAGCACAAATTTCAGACATAAAGAAAGGCACTGTCTGACCTGGCGTCCACCGAGCTCGACTCAGCGATGGACACAGATAGACCACATTGCTATTAGTCATCGCTGGAGAGGATCGGTGGAAGACTGCCGCTCCTTCTGGAGTACGTGTTTGGACAGCGATCATGCGTTGGTCCGAGCACGTATATGCCTGCGTCTCAATGGACGTAGAAAAAATTTGGCAACAAAACCACTACGAGTTCTGCTGGACAACGAAAACACCAAAGCCGTGTTCAGTGAGAAGTTGGCTAGGCAGTTATCGGAACAAAAGACTGTCACTCATCCAGAAGAAGCTTGGTGCCATCTTCAGTCTACTGTAAAAGCAGCACTGGAGACTGTAGCCGACTCCAAGATAATGGCTAAAAAGAGCCAGTGGATATCAGCAGCTTCTTCCAAACTAATGGATGCACGTGAATGCATCCCTGCAGGCTCTGAGTACAATGAAGAGCGAGCGCAACTTAAAAATAAACTGACGAAAAGTCTGCGCAACGATCGTGAACAGTGGTGGGCAGCAAAGGCTAAAGAGATGGAAAAGGCAGCGGCGATCGGTAACAGTAGACAGTTATTTAGACTTATTAAGGAGACTGGGGGGAAATGGTCAACAACAGTTAGTGAGGTTATAGCGGAGAAGGACGGATCGGCGATTCACTCGCAGGGAAGGCGACTGGGACGATGGGCAGAACACTTTGAGGAACAGTTTAACTGGCCTCCAGCCACCATTGCGCTGCCCGCTATCCAGTCGGACCCTGAATGGGACATAGAGACAGGTCCCCCAACACTAGAAGAAGTTGAGAAAGCGGTAGGTAGCCTGAAACGGGAAGGGCAGCAGGACCAGACGGACTACCTGCTGAGGTATACAAGAATGGTGGTAGAGTTCTCTTAGTCAGGCTAACGGAAGTGTTAGCCAGTATATGGGAATCAAATACGATCCCCTCCGACTGGTCTAAGTCACTCATCATCCCAGTCTTCAAGAAAGGCGAGAAGTCCTCTTGTGATAACCACAGAGGAATCAGCCTGACAAACATAGTGTCTAAGATCCTAAGTTCTATAATTCTCCGACGCCTGAGTGGAGCTCGGGAACAGCAAGCCCGAGAAAACCAGGCAGGCTTTAGACCTGGCCGTGGATGTATCGACCAAATATTCACACTGCGCCAGGTCCTGGAACATAGGCATGCTTACAGACGCCCGACAATAGCTGTATTTCTCGACCTGAAGGCGGCATTTGACTCCGTTGATCGAGAAGTCTTATGGCAGTGTCTGTCACTGAAAGGCGTGCCTAGTAAGTACATCACCTTATTGAAAGCTCTCTACTCGAACACTTGTGGGCATGTTAGAGCCTATGGTGAGTTGTCCAGGGAGCTATACTCATCAAGTGGTGTCCGTCAAGGATGCCCACTATCCCCATTCTTATTTAATTTTATCATAGATATTCTTATGGAGGTTTCCCTCTCGTCACCTAATTACAAAGACGTTGACCGGATCACAGGTGAATTTTCCTTAGATCTAGAATATGCAGATGACATAGTCCTGTTAGGTGAAGACGCTGACAAGATGCAGAGTCTTCTGAACACTTTGAGTGGGAATTTGAGAATGTTTGGGATGCGATTTTCACCACCCAAATGCAAATTTTTGCTCCAGGACTGGTCTTCAGCGGTACCGCGGTTAACAATAGAGAGTGAAGTGGTTGAGTGTGTTGACCACTTCACTTACCTGGGAAGTAGGATCAACCCGGTGGGTTAGTTGCCGATGAGATTTCTGCACGGATACAAAAGGCTCGATTGGCTTTTGCCAATTTGCGCCACCTATGGCGCCGCCGTGATATTCGTTTGTCTATTAAGGGTCGCGTGTACTGCACAGCAGTCCGCTCTGTTCTACTGTATGGCTGTGAAACATGGCCATTGAAAGTGGAAGACATGAGAAGGTTACAGGTGTTTGACCACCGTTGCCTTCGTAGTATAGGACGTATTCCGTGGTGTCACCATGTGAGTAATGCAGAAGTTAGGTGTAGAGTTTTAGGGAGAAGAGGTAAGTCAGTCGACGAGGTTGTGAACCTTCATCGACTGAGATGGTTGGGACACGTACTACGTATGCCTAGTCACCGATTGCCTCGTCACACAATGTTGGCTGAGGTGGGTTCAGGCTGGAAAAAGGCCCGAGGTGGCCAGACTAAAACATGGCACCAATGTATGAAGTCTCTGACTGTTGGTTTAAGCCATGTAGGACGATGCAGACTAGGTGGTTGGGGTCCACGGGACAAGAGGAACCAGTGGTTGGAGACCCTAGGTGATATGGCTCAGAACCGAAGTCAGTGGCGCAGATGTATACACACATTATCCTCATCTTAACAACGCTATACCGAATCTCACTATTTTGTCACTCCTCTTTCCTTTCTTCTCGTACTTTATATTTCTTTTGACTGCATTCACTTATCTTCATCCTTCACCTCACTACCTTTTTACTTGATGTGCTGATATGAGGTGTGGCAACTCGGACCGTTACGCAGTAATGCCTGGTCCTATGTTGATAATGATGATGATGATGATGACTAATTAGTGGAGAAGACATGAAAGACATGTAGAAACGTGTATTAGGGTCGAAAGACCGAAGGGCGAAAGTGGATGAATGGAAGAGTTTATTTCTCCGAGAATTATCATGATAAATCCAATCAATCAACATCGGTTCTGAGCCACATCACCTAGAGTCTCCAACCACTGGTTCCTCTTGTCCCACCGACCCCAACCACCTAGTCTGCATCGCCCCACATGGCTTAAACCAACAGTCAGAGACTTCATACATTGGTGCCATGTTTTAGTCTGGCCACCTCGGGCCTACTTCCAGCCTAGGCCCACCTCAGCCAACATTATGTGATGAGGCAATCGGTGACTAGGCATACGTAGTACATGTATAAAAACCATCTCAATCGATGAAGGTTCATAACCTCGTCAACTGACTTACCTCTTCTCCCCAAAACTCTACACCTAACTTCTGCATTACTCACTCACGTGGTGACACCACCGAATACTTCCTTTACTACGAAGGCAACAGTGGTCAAACACCTGAAGCCTTCTCACATCTTCCAACTTCAATGGCATACAGTAGAACAGACCGGACTGCTGTGCAGTACACGCGACCCTTAATAGACAAACGGATATCACGGCGGCGCCATAGTTGGCGCAAATTGGCAAAGCCAATCGAGCCTTTTGTATCCGTGCAGAGATCTCATCGGCAACTGACCCACTGGGGCTGATCCTACTTCCCAGGTAAGTGAAGTGGTCGACACACTCAACCACGACGCTCACTCTATTGTTAGCCGCGGTACCGCTGAAGACCGGTCCTGGAGAAAAATATGCATTTGGGTGGTGAGAAACGCATCCCAAACATTTTGAAATCCCCACTCAGTGTTCAGAAGACTCTGTATCTTGTCAGCGTCTTCACTTAACAGGACTGTCATGATAAATCCCAAAACACGCGAAAAGGTACACACATGAAAAATGACCTTGTCTTCAATTTGAAACACAGACATAGTAAGAGTAAAAGATTAACCAATCAGTGAATTACATTACAATGAAGACAGAAAATAAACTACTAGTCATACCGTCAAAGAAATGGTATGGGAATGACACGTTAAAATGTTCAGATCAATACAAAACTCGGTATCACAACACAAACAAAAGACAATAATTCATTAACGAATCGAAAATCGAAGTTTAATCATCAATCTTGTGTATATTCTTGCAGTAGGCAATGAATTACATCTATTATAATGAAGATTAAACGATATTACCTAACTCTGATTAAACCCTCAGTAAGTAGAATGGTGTTTGAATCTCCTTGACCCACTGATTGAAACCAATGAGCAACAACTTCACAATGTAGTGAAATTTTTTTGTAAACTACGTTACAGTCAGTTATAGAAAGTGAAATTTTTAACTGGATTTTTTTTTCCATCAATAATATTGATAAAAAGGAATTGTTTTTTTTTTAACAGCTTAACACCCTAATAACAACTTGTAATTGATTACCTGAAGTTTGGTGGTAACTTCAAATAAAGAGGGAAAGTATACTACTTAAGCTTGAGAGATAATCTATACACTGAATAGGATATATTCAATAACAATATCCACAATATATGGTCTGATGAGCATTGAATAATGTAAGAAAATGTGAAATAACACTAGAACCTTTTATTTAATTGTTTCCCTATATTTCATAGCCTCATAAATTAGTAGAAAGAGTGTGAAAGATCAGACTGTAAAATCTACAAACAGACACATACGTTAGTCATGAACTTTCCACACAGTTCTGATTAAGAAAATCCTCATATTGAAACACTATGAATAATGAAAAATCTTATTATATCTGTGGTGTCCAAATCACATGGTTTACTGACAAAGAAGAAATCAATAAAACTCCACTTATCACAATATTTAATTGAATTACGCACTAGTTAATTATACACTTTGAATGTTCCAATATTAAGTATTTGTTGAAAATGTGAATCCAATTGAGTGAACAAACTAGTAAGAGAAGACATACTTGTCCTTAAACAGTAACTTATTTAAAGCAGGTAGTAAAATTTGTGATCCAACGAATTATAATTAAGAACATATGCATGAGTTATATCAGTATATCTACAGTTTGATATATACGGATAAGGGGAGAGTGTACACATGAACATGTCTACCTGTTGTGTTTCACATTGGTTATTATTATTATTAATCCCTTGGGTTCCTAATGGAACATAGGGCTTCAGTAGCACGTATCCAGTGAACTCTATTCTCCGAAATCTTTTGAACCTGGCTCCACGACATTCCAGAAGCTCTCATTTCCTCCTCGCACAATCTCCTCCATGTCACCCTCGGACGTCCAACTCGTCACTTCCCATCTGGGTTCCACTCGATGGCCTGGCCTGACGCGTAATGTCCCCAATCGGCCTTCTCAGTGTATGCCCAATCCATCTCCACTTCCTTCTAGTGCATATTTGTTGGGTGATAGGTTCTTGGTTGGTTCGTTCCCAGAGCTCCTTGTTGCTTATTCTTTCTGGCCATCTCCACTGATCTTCAGTAGCGAGCGTAAGTTGTTGAGGAATGTCTGTAGTTTATTGGAAATGCCTTTCGTAACGCGCCAAGTCTCTGAACCATGCAGAAGCACTGACTTGACTGGGTTGATGTTGAAAATCCGGATCTTGTTCCACATGCTGAGTGCAGTGCAGTAGATGTCCACACTGGTTTCAGGCTAATGAACACCTGTCTTGCTTTTCCGAATCTGACTTTGACATCCTCGTCTGTGCCGCCTATAGTTGAAACAGTGCTTCCTAGATAGGTGAAGGAGGTTACTTCCTTTAAGTTTCTCCCGTTGATGGTGACTGGAGTTTGTTGTTGTTGTTGTTGTTGTCGGTGCGGTATCTTCGTCACCTCTGTCTTCTCTTTATCACATTGGTTAGCCGCTTTAAAATTAGTTTAAGTCGGGAAAATTTGACCAATGCTGCTAATGCCAAGATACTGAATAGAAGAATGTTGTAACCATTTTTAAGAAACATTTTACAAAGATGTCTGGAAAAAACAGTTACCATTATGCAAAACGCGCCAATGTAGTTTGTACTTTGACATGCATTTAATGCTATAGAGAGAAACAACGAATATACCCGTTGAAGAGGCGGAATGCTTGTCAGTTGCACGATTACCAATAGAATGTGTAAATTGTGTAAGGGAAAAATGTCATCAGAATTGACGACAATTAGGTATCCGCCAGGGGATGCTAACAGTCACCGTTCACAGACGTACTAATGGACAACCTTAGGTATCTCTGACTTCACACGGAATGACCTACTCCTTGGAAGTCATTTGGTTGACTTCGAGTATGTAAACAATATTGTCCTGCTGGATGAAGACGATGACAAAATGCAGTCTTCTGATCGCGTTGAGCAGAAACGTTGTTTCGTATGCGCTTCGCACCAATGAAATGTAAGATGATGCCCCACTACTACTCTGTATCCAATCCCAGTCTAAAGACAGGGAGTGAAGTAGTGGAATGTATCGATTACTTCACTTACTCGGGGAGTTGCATCAGCTCGAACGGGATGGTTGCTGACAAAATCTCAGCTCGGATACAGAAGGTACGTTTGATACTTTATAACTTGAGACATCTGTTGCACCGACTGGCGAGATATTCGAGTATCTATCGAAAGAACGAGTATACTGCGCTGCAGTCCATTCTATCATATTGTACGACTGAGTCAGCCGTTAAATTTAGAAGACATGAAGCAGTTACAGGGTTTCCATCGTAGGTCTGTTCACACCATTGCTCGCATTTGGTGGAATCACCATTTGAAAAGTGTTGATGTCAGGAGAAGGATACTAGGCAAGACAGGCAAGTCGATTGACGAGGTTGTGAACCTTAGTCGACTGAAATGGCTTGGACATGTACTGTATGTGCTGAGCCACTGCACACCTCGACATGCCTGCCATGCTAGAGGAAGTTGGCTTAGGTTGGAAGAGGGTTCCAAGGGGCCAAACTATGAAGTGGCACCAGTTGATGAAGTCCCCAACTGTTGATGTGAGTTGTGTGTGGAGATGTAGACTATCTGGTTGGGGTCTCCGAGACAATAGGAATGAGTGGTTGGGGACTGACTCTTGGTGACATGGCTGAGAATGGGTCACGAATGGTACAGATGTATTCATTCCATGATTTCTTCTCAAGCTCGAATATACACATTCACCTTTAGTTCGAAACTGTGTATTCTGTCATACAACGTTGTCTACTTTGGTATGACTCCTTTTCTATCCACCTGTTGTTTGTATACTACTGTGAAGTGTGACAACTTGAACCGATGCATCTGTGTGCGAGGTGCTACGTTGATTTAGTCAATCAGTCAGTCACACGTGCTTCAAGGGTGCATTTCTTAAGACACACTTGTATTTGACTTTTGTGTTGTCACTGAATAACAGAAGTGGGAGTATAATAATCTTAGTATTTACTTCATTTTATGTAACTCATGTGATTGTTTCGACTCTGTTTGTCAATAGGTGCGGTTGGCTGTTCAGTACGAGTCTGTACCTTGTGGAAATGAATCAGTGAAACCCGTTCCAGCTGTAACACTATTACTTTCAACTGTGGATTGTGGTTCTTCTGGGTCATCTTGCTCGAATGACATTGATATAAGTGAGTCTTTATTGTCTAACGGTTTGGTATGCGTTGAACCGATTCAACCTATGTTACTTAAACGACTACCGCGTAACCTGCTTCACAAATACTTGAACGCTCAAGCTTTAGCGAAGAAAGAACGTAAGATGGACTTATGTGCGACGTTCCACGTTGATTTCGTCAGTCAGTCAGTAAATTATGCGGTTCATCAGTGGAGATAAGAAGATGATGAAGATAAGCAATGCTGACTGCCATTTTTACAGTTACCGGACAAGTGAAAGTAGACGAAGTAACATTTCTGACGAATGAAGCATATCGTTTTCACCGTTCAAACTCAAGTCCAATGCGTGAAATCAGCACTCAAGAACTTATTTGCAAAAATAAATTATGTTTAAAGGTTTACGTAACCGGATTTTAACCTAATCGGACTTCACTTTATGATGGACCATCTGTCAAATGAATAAAACAAGGAAGTGAACAAAATGAAACCACTAAATAACATATTGGTAACTAGTGAAATACGAACATGGACAAGGTTACAGAGGTGAAATGTTTATTCACTACCTGTGAGATCAGCGACACGATGAACTGGGGGATCTTGTTTACTAAACATTCCAAGTCCCTTAGATTGAGCATTTTCTTCTGCCGCAAGAAGATCAGTATAAATCATGGTCCGAGAATCATTAGCATTACGATAACGAATAACAGAAGCCAGACCTTTTGAAACCAAAAAAAGGGCAAGATTGATGCCATCAGCCTGAACGGTAGCACAAATACGCTCATCCACTGTGTTTTGTGTTTTTGGTTGGATATAGTCAACAAGAGCCGTTACCTACGTATTACAGAAAGACAGTAGCATTATTCAAAATACACAAACCTTACACTTCATAAAATGAAATGAATTGCAAGACTGTTAAAAGAAATGAATTGAAGAGTTCAATTCCAGTGCATACTGTACTTACATTCTTCCCGATAAATTGCCGGAGTACTTCTCTGGCTTCAAACACATATGGTATATCATAGAGAGGACGAATACGAGAACGCTGGACTGTAGTCTCTTCTTCTTTCCCAGTAGCCTGAGGACGAGGTGCTCTTATACTGGACAGGAAAAACTTATGAACGCCATCTGAACACTTGACAGAAACGTTGTCACCATTACCAACTTCGCATATCTGAAAACAAAAGTAATGTGAGAGTAGAACCGAAATGCACTTGTCAGTTATATTCGATAGCAGGATGTTGAAACTGGCACTTCCAAAGTACAAGAGTTTAAAATGATATGTCTTTAGTTGTTTGCTCACACAATCATGAACACTGAATATGGTAGAGCGAAGCTCTTAAAGATACCAGCAGAAACAGAAGTTGTCACTGTACTTTCGCATGTATTCTCAAGCAAGTTGGCTAACTGCCACTCATGCAGTTTTACGAATTAAAGTGACATAAAGCTACAGAAGACAGACAAAACTCATCGGTGAAAATTTAACGAGACAGGGAGTGATAACTATGAAAACACAGCAGCAAGAAACAGTTGCTAGACATGCTTTCCTGAAATACACGGTGCAGTAAACTCTACAGCTTAAAAGTGAGTGGATATATTTGAAAAATCCGTTCCTTTACGTGTTTTATTCATTATAATGTACCATACGATATTTAAATACGATAAATAGATTGGTGTAGTGGATAACATTTTGGCGTTTGAAGCAGTGGGCACTGGGTTCCAGTTTCAGTCGGGACCACTCACTCATAATTTCTAAACAGGATGAAACGCGCGTCCTGAATCCTCAAAATGAATATAATACAGTAAATAAATTAGATTGTTATCCACTTAAGTACAATGAACAGATAAAAATGTAAGTGATTTTCGTTTTCTAATACACACTATGAAGCAACGGATATGAAAAAGGTTGTGTCACGGAGTTTAGTTCTAGATTTATATAGCTTGCGAAACAGGTCCAAGTGTATGTACAATATATACATACAGGTAAACTTTTATGGATATTTTTAATGATTCTATGAGCATCTACAGACGCTATCCACCAGAATGATCACATCTAGTATCATGACTGTGAGTATACAGATGAACAATTGTCAATGCTTTTCTTCCTTGCTAACTTCTGTTCATTTTCCAAGGAACGTTAATCAGGACTATATAGTGTTCTGTTTATTTAACGATATCACCTAGTGACAGTTTTGTGATCATGAATTTCTGATTACAAAATAACACAACTGTTTCCTTACGTGTAACTTCAGATACGAAATTATTACTCGTAACTTCCTAAACAATGTCAAAATTTAAATGGTTGTTTTATTTGCCAACAACTTTAATTCTTGCTCAACCCAAAACTTTAGTAAAAACTAAAAGTATAATGACTGATGTAAGTCAACTATTCAAATGAAACAAATTCATCAAGAACAAAAAATACTACTCTTGATTAGTTTGATCCTCAATACCAACAGGGACTATTTTAAAAAGATTTGAATGTATAATGCATTCAAGTACTGATAAAAGTAGGGATGTAATTTACTGGTAAACATAATCGACTTCCAAGCAATAGGTTCTAGGTTGAGATAGTTTCTCACTTAAATCTATATGTATAACAAGATAATATAAAAAGCCATGACATATGTGTTGATTATGACTTAATACATGAACAAGTATCGAGTTGAAATGGATTGTTTATTTTAAAAATACTAATGATAGATTGATCTTTAGTTTTTGTATGTTCTCTAAAACATGGGACAGAAAATGTTTTTTTTTGTTTGCAACATCTAAAACAGTATACATATTGACTTCATGGTAAATATCATTCAGATTAGTCTGTTTACTTTTGTTCATTTTTAGATGAACAAAGTTCATTTGCAAAACTTTTGTCCTCAAATTGAATTTTATCATTGACAAATCAATAATCTTATTGATAATAACGCAAGCAGTAAGAAATTTTAACTTATTAAATAAATACTACTCAGCTATGTGAACTGTGTTAACTGTATTAACAGTCAGACAAGCATAATAATTTATAGTTGAATTGGGCACTTACATATCCACTATATATCTTCCCTGGAACAACTGTCTTCACATTTTCCACATATACTTCTGTTGTTTGAGTAGGTTGGTAATCTTCCCATAAACGTAAACGCTTCTCCTTAGCAAATCGTTCAGCTGCTCGATATGCTTCAGCACCGCCTGGAATACTGACCATATTAAGATTCCAGTCAATACACCGGGCCAAACCTTGACGCAACAGCAGTTCTGCAATATTTCCATTTGGATGAAGTATGCTACCCACAAAGTTTTGGTTGAATATAGACTCTAACACAACAGTAATGTCTCTTTGAAGCAATCTCGACTCGACAAAGAATAGTGCATCATGACCCCATGGTTCAGTTACCTATTTTGGACTAAGTAACAGTGTAGGGACTTACCATTTTTCCATCTTCGTAGCGTATTGAAGGTGACTTTATACCGGATATTGCAACTGTAAGATATACATACGTATTGGGTTCTTCATGAAGGGATTCAGGTAGAACGAACACCTGTAAAGAACAGCCATCTCTGACATTTTCGACGATAGCTTTCAGTGGTTGGCTTTTGTACTTCTCAAGAAAGCCCCGTATATCCTCAACAGACCAAAGGATTGTCCTTGTATGAGCAGGTATAGAAGACCAGCGACCCTTGCCAAGTGATTTAGCTTGTTCTTGAGCAGTTAAAAGTTGCTGGTAAACTTTGTTCTTGTCAGCTAACGTAGGGTTTAGCCTCCTCACTTCAGCCAAACCCTGTTCTACCAATGATAATGCAACACTCTCACCATTTGTATTTCTACCTGTTGAGAGGATTAACAGAAAGGAATAAACATACCTATGTAAACACAACCATACTTGCGACCAGAAGGTAGTTCTGTCTCAACAGAGTAACAGACCTCTTTTCCGACCAACAGAGAACGAACGAACTCTCTTGCCTCCAGGCGAATGGATCTTCTGGTACACCAGCAGGATTTCCTACAGTAGGCCGACGAGCAACACGACCACAGGATATGTTAGATAGCACGATAATCCGTTCTGGAGGTGGACCATCAACCGGACGATCACGAATAACAATGGTATCACCTGTTAAAACCTAAAGAAAAGCCACTGTCAGTGATCGCGGTAAAGCATGTAGCACAAAATATAAATAGCCACTAGGATACTGTCGTTAGAACTTAAGTGTTAGGTGCTGGTGATCCCTCTTTTAGACTACAATAAGCACATAATCATACTCCAAGGGATTTCAATCTTCTTCAGATCAATTCAATGGATAACACGCAAATTGAAAGCAATGATTTCATGAAGGTTTGATTATTTAAACTTATCAAAAAAAGGAACTAACCGGAAATCAACAACTCGGTGGAGAAATGAACAAATTCATTCTTGTTTAGCCTGACATAAAAAATCAACGTGGAACCTAGCACAGAAGTGCATCGGTCCAAGTTGCGTTACTTCACAGTAGCACGCAATGGACAAGTGGGTAGAAAAAGATTGATATCAAAGTAGACAAAGGTGTATGGGAGAAATAATTTGGAAATGAAGGTTAGTCAAAACATTCAAGCTTCAGAAAACGTCAAAGAGTGAATATACTCCCACCATTGCAACCAACTTAGAGCCACGTCACCGATGACCTCCAACCACTGATTTCTATCATCTTGAGAACCTGTCACAGCTAAAAACCAACAGTCAAATACTTCATAGACTAGTGTTATGTCTGTCTGGCCATCCTGACTCCTCTTCCAAACCTATCCCACTTCGGCTAACATTGTATGTCGAGGTAGGCGGTGGCTCAGCATGCGTGAGGCATTTCCAAGCCACCTCAGTCGCTGAGGGTTCTTATCGACTGACTTCGCCTGTCTTGCCCAGTACCATTCACGTAACCTCTACATTGCTCACACAGTGACTCTAAAATACCTGAACAATGTTACAAAGACGCTTAGAAAACCTGTACTTTCTCCATATCTACTGTAAACGACTCTCAGTCGTAAAATGAGACAGCAAACTGTCGCGAATTATACTCGTCCTTTAACAGATAGTCAGATATCTTGCCAGTCAGTGCCAGAGATGACGCACGTTGGCAAATGCAAACGAGTCTTCTGTATCCGAGCTGAGATTTCACCAACCAGACCATTCGGGCTGACGCAACTCCTCAAGTAAGAGGCGTGGTCACTGTATTCTAACACTTCACTCGGCATTCTTAGACCGGAAGTCGGCGTGCACCAGACCTGAAACCACTTTGCATTTTATCAGTGCGAAACGCATGACAAAAGAAACTCAGATTTCTGTTCAGAGAGTTCAGAAAATTCTGCATTGCCTACTTCGCCAACACCTTCCTAAATATGCACTTGACGTCCTTAACTTCTAATCGGGTACATATGCCTTACTGTCACCTGTTTTCCACTAGTAAGGTGGAAATATATATGTGCCCGTACTAACACGTAGACGGAGTCCAAACAGGCACTCCAGGAAGAGGGATAATCCTTCATCGGCGCTCTTCAATGATGGCTTGCAGTAGTATGATCTATGTGACCATCGTTGGTTTCATGTTAATGAATACCAAGTGAGACAGTATCTCTCCTTATTCTTGAAGTTAGTGCTGGCGAAAAACGAGTGAATGTCAAAAAGGAATTACAACAGACGATAACCGTTGCCAGTCTGTTGACACGGGAGTCTGTCGAAACCTCGAGGATGCTTTTTTTTATCTGACTCAGCCTTCTCATTTGAGCGTTGAAACCACCTGCTGCTACAACTACATCTGAACGTCCGAACTGCAGTTGGTCAGTGTGTAGGCGATCATGCTGAACAGACATCGACAAGTATAACGACCATTCCCAGTTCTTACAGATCCATTTGGTAAGACAGCATACAGATGGCCAATGACTGGTATTCAGTTGAGAAGTGCACCTTCTGCTCTACAACTCAATCCTATGCTGACCCCAAGTCAACGAGAACCAGTGTCTCCGGACACTCGTAGGGTGAATTTTGAAGATTAACCACCATGGTCAGGTGAGGTCAAAGAAAATAAACATACTCGGATCCTGGATACGTGTTTCAGAAACACAAGTTACATATATGGCTTGAGATTTTAGAGTTCTATTGTCCTATTTGCCATAGAGTTCGGATATTGAAGGCTGTAATGTGAAACATATAGCAGGGTTTTAGGAGATAACGAACGGAGTTTCCCTTGCCCTGGTCGTCAGCAACAGTAGCAGAGTGAGAGGTTGAGGAAGTTGTCAGAGGCTAAGTAATGATATCAGGAAGTAAAGGCAAAGGAGGAGATACATTATGTTTGACTGAGTTTTGCATACTATCAGAAGCGTTCAGGTAGTTGGTATTTTCGGGCTGCCCGTGCAGCGGAATTTATTCCCGCAGAGTACCCGCATCGCGGCGCAGCCCATAAGATCTCTGCTGGGTGTTTGTCACGCACAGTACTTGTTGAATTGGTATTTTCAGATTTAATTGTTTTAACGCCGGATAAGAAAAACCTTTACTGTCGGTACCAGAACACCGTATGACAAGGAGTAGAGAGCTACTTTTAGGGCCGACCTTTTCTAACTTCCTTTCCTAAGGCGAAGATGGCATCACCGTGGCACTGCTGGGCATTCAAGAGGAACACCTTACTGAAATTAAATCCTCGTTCAGCTAGCAGTACGACTTCACACTCGGACCTCCATCATAGGGGAGTAATTAGGACTATGACAGCAACCGCTTTTTGTCTGATACTCAACAGTACTTTCTAGGATGTTAAGACCTCAAGGAACAAGTTTCAGTTCATGTAGCTCGTTGGGTCATTGTGATATACAAGCCCGACCACCCCAACAAGCTGGCAGTCGCCGGTCGAGACCTTAAACTGAACCCTCAAAAAATGAATAAATTTGGTAGATAACCCAGCAACACTTCCTCTATTGGGCATGAGTAATCATGTTTTCACGTTGCAGTATGTCTTAGAAAAGGAAATGAGTTGTGCCTATATCAATGTCATCGAGAATTTACCTGACGTAGCTGTTCAGATGGGTTTGTAACACACTGGGGAACTGATCATGACTGGCAAGATATAAATAGCCAATGGATGTTCATACACGACAAAATAATGTACACTATACGCCAGTTTACTGGACTTTCAGTGTAAAAGTGTAACAAACAAACAAAGGTAATACGCGATTACCCCCGAATCTGCTGAAGCTAAAAAGATACAAATGGGTTGAGTAAAAGAAAGGCAGCTGGATCCAGCTACAAACACTTCGAACAAAAGAAAAACTCTCACTAAAGCCCTGAGATGATAAAAATCAGTAGTACTCTCAGTTAGCTAGTACGTTTTTATTGTCAAAATGCCTGTCTTGTTATGCAGTATCAACCAAATCATGGGTTTTCTACTTATGGGTAACTGTGGGCTGCGTGAACCGGTAGAACTTTTGGCGGGTCAATACTTACAGGCTTATTCATCGTTGACAGCAGCCTCAGACATATGAGCGTTTTACAGAGAGCATAACTGTTAACCGTTGATCCGAGGGTCAATGGGACACATTGCAAACTTATCTCATGGAAGGATATGCTTGTAGGTCTGGATAAAATGCTTGCTGTTGCATTTCATAAAAAGTCTTATCTTTTGCCTACCCACCCCAACCTAGTACCTCAAGTTAGGTCATCACACATCTTAAAGGGTGATTAAGGAAGTGACTCAACGAACTACAGGTTTTTGGTGTTTTCATCTGCGACTTTCAAAGTGACAAGGTGGCCAACCTACAATGACTTGCGCAACTTTCGGATGCCTACTGGTTCCTTCTCACCTTAACAGCATGAATTCAAATATTCGTATATTAATAATCTATTTAGTGCAGTGGGAAGACCGACTAATATTATTAGTGAGGCAGATGTCATATACTTTGACTTTTCTAAGGCAGTTAATCACGTCAACCACAACTATTTTTTCAATAAGTTGAGGCTGGTAGAATTTGATTGGCAAGCATTATATTTAAGCAACCACCTCATCAGGGTCCAGGTGAATATTGCCATTTCCAGGGGAACGGGATATCTTAATGGATTCCTTGAATGTTGAGCATTAAATCCTCTTCTGTTTTTGATTTACAGAAGTAGTTTACTTTGATAAATTTCTTTTAGAATTCTTTGTAAATGTAAAGCTATAGAGAGAAATCAAAAGAGGTAAGGTTATTTTACAAGATGATATGACCACGCTTCGAAATTAGGCGGGTTACAACGCAGTAAACAACTCCGAAAATTTAAGGTGGTACATCTACATCTAGGCTAAAAACAGCTGAAGATATCTCTGATGGGAAAGGATTCTGAGGTCTATGACCAAGTTCACTGCTTCAACAGCCTCACCTATAATTCGGGATTGTTTCCTCCCTTAATGTCAAAAAGTTAAGAACTACCCATAGCGTATTCAGATAAACTACAATCAAACAGTTCCAGGACTCAGGCCCAAGCGACAAGAGGGACGCACTCCATTACTTGATCTAAATTCCTTGGAATACGAATGACTGCCGTGACCCGATAGCACAGTGCAACACTGTAAATACACCAGCTCGCTCGTTTCATCATTCGCTTCCGCTAAGTTTTAATGTTAACCCAAACATTTTCACGAGGAAAATGAGATGTTTTACACCATCTCCTCCCATATGCCGCTTTGCTTTTTAATTTCCCTCCATATCTGGTTCCACTGTTTTTTGCTTCAGTTCACATATTTTCAGAGGGTTGTGTAACATTATTTGTTGTGCATTATCCCCACAAACCCAAGATAAGGATTTTAACAGAACAGAAAGAGACTGCTGCTTCTTTTACGTCTTTGAAAACATCCTGGTGGGAATAGTGATGGTCATTAGCTTACGGCATAAGCAACAACCACTGTGAAGCCCGTACGCCTACTGTCTGCTTAACACACCCCTACGCTGACCATACAACCCTACCTACCATAACACACACCTGTGACCAGATGACGCTGGTCAGATATCGTGCCTATCATTTCGTTTCGTCACGTAGTACTCCATTTGCACAAATGCCAAAATATGTAACTAGAGGGTTGTTTTAATATAGTAGAGCGTTAAGTGATAATGAATACCCAAATTTAAAATACTTTGGTACCACCAACCCATATCCTGGTATAACGTTGTTGATCACGGTGTGCTTAAATTTAGTGCACCAATGCATACTGTTTTCGATCAAATTTTATTGAACGCAAATACTCGAGAAGTGAGTACCTATTTGACTTGGTATGTAAGAAAAGTATATTCCATTCAGGTGAAACTATGAACATGTATTCTTATCAACTAGCTACATGGTCTGGATGCCTCGATTGCAAAAATGGCCCTTCATTTCAGTAGGATAATATTATTATTTTGATAACGATCTATTTCCCAAAATTTTACTTCATCTGGAGTTATTCTATCCCCTGAAGGCTTTAATAATGGAGAACAGGAAGGGCTCACCGGAAAAAAATTACAGGGGTAGGATAAATTAGAAAATGCAGGAAGAGTAATTAGATGACGAAAAAAACGCCCTAAGCCACACGTTCTACGTGGGGACTGGTTGCCAAACCTTGGTAGGTGACTCGCTAGTTAGTCATCTCCCAAAACCACTGAGCCACAGCTCTGGGCAGTAACTAGGCGAATCGAATCGACGGACTATGAACTATTCTATGAATAAGAATAGTAATCGAGGTTACACTACAGTAGAAAGCAGAAAGAAAAATAGAGGGCTATTTGTTTTCCCAATTCAGTATTCCCCCTCTCTGCATAAGTGCAATTTGCGGTGGTGGCATGTTTGCTAGTTTACTTCGAGCCCACTACAGTACTATATTTGCACTAGGCATATGCACGGACTTAACCATGTTGAAAGTAAGCTATGGACACATTATATATATATATATATATATATATATATATATATATATATATATATATATATATATATATATATATATGGACGCAGTACGTTGCTGTCTGAAAACTTGGCCACTTTCGAAGTGTAATTCACGGCAAATTTATGACTACAGGGTCGACAGAATAACCTAATACACAGTTTACAACATACTTTCCTTGATTTAAGATTCAGACTAAAAACTAATCTCAATGATCGATTTTATTATTGATGTTTTTACCACTAGTAGTAAAAGACCTTTGTTCTAAGCGGCAAACAACAATCCCATTGTGGTGTTAAATACGGTTTAGATCAATATGACATGTGATGGAAGACAGTTTTACTTCTTAAATACCTAACTCCACATATCTTCAAACCTTTGAATAGTCGTATGTAGTTAGAAAAACTGAGCTGAGAACTTTCTCATCAAGTCCCTCTTGATTTGAACCACGTACAACTTCGCCCTATGATCCTGTCACTTCACCTCACGTTCGAATCTCGAAGTTTCATTTTCCTGTTGACTAGGTATGCTTACGGGAAGTTAAAAGTTGAACATAATAGTAGGTGTATTACACTTAACTTGTACTTATTAGTTGTTAAAGCTTAGATTACTCCACCTGTAAAGGTTGCCCGGGCTACTTCATCAGTTACTTTTAACACAAACTCGATGATGAATTAATTAGGACCTTATAAGGACACAGTTACAATATAGACCGATCAGCCTGTATAATCACCTGTTTTCTTCCGTTATACGTATACCACTTCGTTCGCCTATATATTCAAACCAGAAACTAGTGGTTCATTACTCTTAGACTCAAGAGCCTGTTAAGCGAAAGCTTCCAACGTTCCATTGAAAAAATTAGGTTGTACGATTATACAAGTACATTCCATGAACAATACTCACATACCTGCTTCACTATTCCTAAGAAGAACGACGGAGAGCTGACTGGTTTTAGATCCTGTTTCGCGATGACAGGAGAAGACATATTCGCAGTTTTACAATTATGACGGACAGAAACACGTGGCAACACCTCAACTGAATTGTACACTGGAGAACTGATGGTTTTAAACAAGAGATACATCACTGCAAAATTTCATGGATTCTAGCATACTGAGTAAAATGTAATCGATTCGATGGACAATAAAGGCCTTATAACTTTATTCAGGGACTTAGCTGGTCTTTAAACTGACTGGATGCATACCATTCGACATACACGGCTTAATCTCGAATATTAGAAACCCAAGGTCAAATAGCCTGTGTTATTCCTATCAGAAAATGTCCTGGTAAGTACCTGGCTTCACTGTGAAGACAATGACCTGGTAAGCTGCAGCCCCGAATTATGGGACATTTTGAGCACTAGTCAGAACGTCTACAGAATTAAGTAGTGATATGTTAGCCACCTCATAGACATATTTGGTCACGTGTGAGCTGGAAAACTGTGCACATACTACGAATCGTCATCTGAAAGACGACTCACACCTTCTGGAAAGTATTCGAAGGGCAGCCACTTGCATGATCTCTGGAATGGCCAGTCTGACTCACGAAGAATGACTTGGGGAGCTGTACCCCCTCTCTTTTCCCTGTTGTAGAGGTCTAATCTTCCTATTTTGCATTTTAAAGAATGCCTCTGCGCCTGATTTATCTTCCCTTTTTCACCCACTGGGTAAGAGCGCCTCAGTGGGTGCAGCAGAAGAATAAGGAGTCAAACAACGAAAGAAGCCTCCATGTAGTACTGGTTCTTGTGTCCAGTAGTTAATTCCTGGAACCAGGGCCTATCAAGGTCTCTTGTAAACGTAATAGGTACGGGAAATCGGTAAACCTGTCACTCCAGTCAGTTTGCTACTGAATAATCATGATCCACTCGCTGTACCACTTGACTCAGGTCAGTGTGTTGCTCCGGATGAATAAGGGCATCCCAGTCCAAGCGGAACATTGATTTTAAGACCAGCCAACACTCAGCCGTTGGCACCGAAGATATCTAAAGACCTTAAGCGAGTATAAAAGACTGTAAGTACTGCATCCGGAATCAGCTTATAAACTGAAGCATAGTATTTCGGA